CCAAGCCGCAACAAAAGCTTCCCGGAATACGCGCTAATTTCGTTATACCCGCCCATCCTTAGAGCAACCAAATCAGTGCCACTTATTTGACCGCTATCGATAATGCACATCAGATCAACCTTTCCACGATGGTGTTTGTTTCCACGTTAACTATGGAGGTTTGGAATGCCCCCCGTGCTTGGCCCTCTTTGATGGCCATTTTGCCATCTTGCCACATTTTCGCCTTTTTGGTGATTTGCCTGGTATACTGCACATCCAGGGACGACGGAACGGGCTCCATCAGCATTCACGGCCAAATGCGATGGGAAATAAAAAAATTACTCGCCAACACAATTTATTCGACGGAGACCAAAGACTCTAGAGGGTATGGGATCTCTTTCCCAGTGTGATCGTTTCTGATCACAATTCTTGGGTGTTTTTCGGTTGCATGCACGGTTATTTCCCCTCTATCTCCGGCCATCACAATTCTCGGCTCCGTGATCACATCAACAACAAGACCGGTCGACGTTACCGGAGACGCCCCAACAGGGTGATAGGTAACGCGCTGTCCAGGCGACGGGGACCCATGTACTTTTCGCGGTTGCGGATACTCCATTGGAATATGCCGACCCTAGTGTGGATCACTTAAACACTCTATCCTACCTCTTCGGTTTCCAACTCCGAAATGCCGGCAATGCCAAAGCCTTTGGGAAAGCTCTCGGTTTCATTCACCTTTCTAATGATCGACTCGGGTCGGTAGGCGGTTTTCTTTCCGGTATGCTCGTTTTGTATTACGATTCTCGGATGGCAGGGATCGGCGTGAATAGTCACAGGGCGCTCCTGGCCCACCAGCTCCGGGTCTGTCAGGATCTGGGTTATGCGGCCAACAGAGGCCGAAGAAACACTGCCCACCGGGTGGTATAACACCCTCTCGCCAACATAAAACCCTTGAATTGCCTTTTTATGCTCCATTCCCTATCGGTATGCACATGTGCCTTATACGAGCGTCCGCAAGATTAGCTTTGGAAGCCTAATTTAAATTTTGCAAACCAAAACCGATTTTAAAGTTTAATTTCATGATCACACATCCTTCCCCCACGTGCAGGAGTTCTCCTGCCGTCGATTCCGGTCGGGCCGTCAAAAAGATAAAAAGGTACCGTTTTGAAGCTCAATTTTTGGTGTAATGAATAAAAAAATAATTTCCATCTTAAGATATATCAGCCCAACCGTTTGTGTCGGCGTCATTGCTTATTTTTAGGACTTCTGCGTCGTCGGCCACTCCATCCCAACCGCCGCCCGATTCGCACCGAAAAGCCGAGACGACACTCAAAAACACTCAACGCGAGGATTCTTCAAGCGATTCGAAACTGGCAGCAACTTCCGATCAATCGAGGAACAAATGCATCGAAATGTTCTATCAGGCGCTTCTATTGGCAATTGAGGAGAAAAAAGGTACCTCGTTTTGATTTATCGATTACTAGTGGCGGACCCCGAATTGCACGAGCCTTTTGAAATCGATAATGCTGTGGAAGCCTCTATAAAGATCGAAAAGTGCCTATTCGAGCAGCACGGAAACCCCTCAAATGATGCATACAAAAAGGCGTTTCGGTCAAAATATTTGAATCTAAAGGATAAAGCCAACCCTGGGCTTCGAGGCCAGATTCTAAGCGGTGACATATCCCCGAGCGATTTTATCAAAATGTCGCCATCTGAAATGGCATCCGAAGAGAGGAGAAAAGAAGACGACAGAATTAACAAGGAAAATCTTCTGAAGGCAAGGGCAGCCAAAGATAACGAGTCCGAAACCGACATGTTCCAATGTAGCCGTTGCAAACAAAGGAAATGCAAATATTTTCAATTGCAGACAAGAAGTGCCGACGAGCCGATGACTACTTATGTCACCTGCATCCATTGCGGGCACAGATGGAGAATGTAGCGCTTCATGGGTGGGTGTATTAGAGTTTTCCAATAAAAAATTAACTTATCCCTAACGATTCAACTCTACTAGTAGCGGCTGCTTAAAAAATGAATCCTCGCATTGTAGAATCAAGCTCCTTAAGGTGGGATGTTTGGCTGTCAAGGAGAATGTATCTATCAATCCAGAATCCTGCAAAACATAGAGTGCATCCTAAGAAAGAGAGTAATATTGAAATACTTGAAGCGAATCGGAGATAAGCTCTCCAGTGAGATCTCTTTCATATTCAGATTCGGCCATCTCATCGTGGAGAAAATGCCCTACCATTTGATGCTGGCTAAATGGTGTCCCAAATAGATCTATTGAAGCTAATCTATTAAAATGCTCAATAGAATAAATGGGCTCTAACGACCACAATAATCTCAGGGTAGGGAAATGGAGCAAAAGAATGACAAGTTTTGAGGGAACATCATTGACGCTGATTTCCTGCGAACTTTTCCCCTTAAAGAGTCTCAGATTGGTTTGAAGGGTATCCGAGGAATCGTCCGGGACAGAGGCTCCTAATTCAAGCAGCAAAAATGGTCTTGAAGTGACGCGCACCATGGCTCTCGTTTGGTCATACCTAAGAAAATAAACCTCAAAGCGCTTACAATCGACCGTTAGTGAGCGAACCAACCAGGTCTGAAAGAGATTTGCGCTCAACGAAAAGTTGTATAAGAGACGAATGACCCAGCTTTCGTTGGATAACATAATCCCCAATGGAAAGCATCATTGGGCAAATGTCAAAGCGACCGCTGGAGTGTAGCAAAGAAGGCAAGATGCTTCGAAATTCGCGGGTATCAACATATACCTTTGCAAGGGCCCCCTCAATATCTGTGGTTGTCGTAAGGGGAAACTTGACCTCTATTTTTAGCAGGGATGTGAACGCATCTGCCTCTGCCCTCAAGTTTATCAAATAACGATGCTCCTGCGCCGAGCCTTCTTGTTGGAATACCGATACAAAAAGAGGAGGCGGCTCAAGACCCTTTTCCGTATCAAGAGACATGGAAAGTGCAGACGAAAGCCTGCTCCATTGATACAACTCAATTGTCCTCAAAAATGCTAGATCAATATCACACAAGATGATATGAGTTGGCTTTATAAACTCCAATAATAGCCCAGAACAAAATCTGGATACATTTTCAAAAGAAAAACAATGAATTTGGATGTCTGGGAGCTCAAAATCGCAAATTTGCTCCAAAATCTTATCTGGGCAAATCTCATCTTCATTTCCTTGTTCATCTTTATCGATAGCTTCGAGATCGACAATCCTAGGCTGCTTTGTTACAGGATTATACTCCCAAGCCATGGATGGAAGACGATCTTTCCATGCTTTGTATTTTTTAAGAGAAGAGGCAAAGGTTTTCTCAACCCCTTTCACAAGCACTTCCTTTAAGAAAGAATGTCTCCCAGAATAGTTTAGGCT